TGAGATTTCACCTATCGAAGCAGTTACTGTGAGTTTACACTCAATGTAGTAATTCTTTATTTTAGTATTACAAAGTTCCAACTTTCAGTGGTTATTATAGCGATTATTAGAAACTGGATTTCATTTTCAAATACGAGTACCTTCTGATATTTCCTGTGTGGTGTTATCGTCCGCCGATTTACCACCCCTGAACACCCACTAAGCGTTGGTGCGTACATTTTGCGACTAATTGTTAATCCTCTTTAATTTCGCCTGATTCAAAGTAAAATAGACCTTATCACAAAACATTAAAGAGAAGGAAACTGCAAGAGCCTATTTGTGCACTTTTGGTGACAATGTTTTGAATAGACTGGAAAAAGATTTGGTGACACGTTTTAAGGAAATAAGACATGATTACTGTATGTTACTGGATTAATTTTTGATTTGCACAAAAGTAAAGGTCATTACCTAAACTAAAATAAATATATCTACAAAATAGGGCGCTAAAAACGACGCCACGTTACTTTCTACCATGATTAAGTATTACCATATACAGATGAGCATCAGGTTCCGTGTTAATATTATAAACTAGTTTTGGACGACAGTACCAATAATATTCGACCGGATTTAGCCGAGCGAGAAGGCAATCCTACAAGACAGTGTCAATTAATAGCAAAAAGGAGGAAGAAAAAAAATAATTAACAACAAACAAAAATACTTAAGAGAGGACCGAGCCTAAATCTTCTTTAAGCAATAAATAAGAAGACGTATGAGTGATTCGCTAAATCTAACGAGGTAGTAACAAGGGGGAGCGGGGGTATAAAGGTGGGAGCAGAGGGGGAGGGTGTACAATTAAAAAGATAAACGCGCGTAAGACCGAGCCGAGGTGACAGTCGGGCGGGTCGCAGTTTGAGTCCGCCGTCTGGTTAGCGGGCTACCGACAGTCTTGCTCATTACTAATTATTGCAATCTCACTTTATGTTCTTAGTTCCGTGAGTTTGTAATTTTTTTTTATTTGCCACTTTAATATTATTTTAAGATAGAAAATTATTTTCTCGACTAATTTATTGATCGATTGTGACAATGAAAGTGATTACCGAGTGTATGTCTTGGTTTTGAATACTTCAAGATTACTAGATCGTATCGTTGCTTCATTCAGAATTTTATAATAGGTTCCTAAATGATAATACTCAGGACATCAAGATTCTAGATTCTGCCACTAGGTAGGTACATCAGACGTCAAAACTTAAAAATTTGAACTGTACTTAGCCGTAGCCACCAACGACTGCTGGACCACCGATTTAAATTTTGCGGATTAATAATTTGCTATGTAAAATACTAGGGTCGCAAAGGCTGTGTAGAGTTCTACGCATATCGCAGTAAACAGAATGGATTGACTGGCTCGCTACACACCAGTAACCCAGTTTGCTGTTTCAACTTGCTATGAGTATGAGGTAGTTACCACTGTTTCGGTATTCCTTTTTGGAATACTTTTAAATAGTAAGTTTCTGTGATTTTTAACTTTAATTACATGAATCGTTTAATGCAATTCTTTGGTCTTTGGTCTGAAGCATAGTAACATTGTGTTGCCGTTGGCCTATACTTATTACCTAAGAATATATTTCCAGTACGGCGTATAAATGATGATATTAAGCTTACAATAGTAATTAAAAGATATCTTTTACAATATTTATGTACCTACAGACGTTTTTCGCCAAAAGAAGGGACATTAAAGTCACCATACGTCATTATAATATGATTGATATTGAATAAACATTCAACAAGTTAAATAAAAGTCTATTTCTACTTTAGATTATTTATAAGGGTTAAATACTATAAGATTTCTAGAATATATTAATAACTTTAATAAATGGGAGTAAGAAAAAGAGACAGAACTCTTCAAGTGAGAACAAAGTGAGATTTTAAAATCTCTGTACAAATGGTAGGGGATTCTGTTTCATTAGTGGGGAGTGCATAGGCGAGACGAGGGTGAGTGGAGCGCTTACAGAAAATATCTGATTACATGTAATTATCGAGCTGGTCCTCGCCCAGCGATACTCGGCCGCAATTCTTCTCTGCAATAATGCTGTATAAAGCAATGCTGGTAATGAAAAGGATGACCATATCCACTATAACTTTTTAAACGATGGGACGAAGAATTCATAAAAGTTATCTTATCATGAAAGATCAATTTAATAATAATCATTATAAATATTATTCGATAAGGATGCAAATTCAACAAAGACCATTTAATAAATAGTGGTACAAGTCTAGATGACCATGATTTATTTCAGAAATTATTTTAACTCCCCCCAGTGATGACCCCAATAAAAAGCTATAAGTAATGGATGTCAATTCATTATGTATATTGGACGAAGGATTAGCATATTGATCTCAATGGAAGTAAGAAAGTAGAGCAAGTTAGGTTTCCTTGCAAATTATAATAGTCAGTATTAGCACCGAGTTTGGAACTGTGACTGTTTGGTGTATAGTGCTAAGCTCGAGGCCAAAATGGACGATTTTAACAATTTAATTTACAATATTTTTTTATTGATAACATGTGCAGCAGTTTTGTAATCCCTTCGGAGAATAAAAGATGTATGGTAAGTAGGTACTTAATTTGAAAATTAAAAATACTTACATCCACAACCACATTCCTAGCAGAAACACAAAGGTCATAAGATCACCAAACCTTTTTCCATTTTCCTGTGGAACATTCTAGTTCAATGTCCGTCGTACATATCAATTAGACGGGGTGTAGTCGTTCGCGCCACTATCTTCACGACCGTCTGTTAATTATCGGGTAGACGGTAAGCCAACTTATTGCCACCCACTGATGCTTACATCTTAACTAGATTAGCTGTCGAATTCTGCTCTTTACGATCTCCTACACAGCTTAACTTTTAACATCTCTTGTTGTTTAACGGAACGCGAGTTAGTAAATTGATTTATAGGAATTGTATTTTATTTTATGTGGATATTGGGTTTCTCCTTCTATCTAAGAGTGTATTATTTAAGGCCCCATAAACCCAACTACCTAATTTGAAATCTTGATTAAAAATGATTCAAAAACTTTGTTATATTTTATAATTTTATCACTTGCCCTGACCATAATTTTTTGTAACTTATTAATAGTGGTAGAAATAAAGAATTGCGAAATGATACTTCTTTCTTTTATAAATACCTAACCACTTTTATTTTAGCCAAACGCGTGAAATTAGAGCTGGGAAAAGCGTATAACAACAACTAGTTGTCGGAGCTAAGTCAGCGTGTGCCGTGTCCGTTACAATCAATCTCATTTGTTGCAATTAGCGGGACGCCGTCTGCTGTCCACGTCGAAGTTCGCCCGGGGAAGTTTGGAGCGGACGCTTACTAGCGATGTCGTAGCGATCTAGTTGTGTCACGCTTTTCGACTGCTAATGGTACTGTAGGTGATTAAATAGTGTTTTGAGATTTTTGTGGTAGTGGATAGTCAAATGGATTTCTGGAGTTGAGTAGTCAATAATGGTTGCACGTAGACGCAGCTTTAAGATGTAATTTTAAATGGTTCTATTCTTTTCGAACCTTCCTCGGTTATATCTTTCATTTTCTTTCATCAAAATAATGAGACTTTATAGGTACATCGAAGTCAATCACAGACTCGATGTTTACCTACATACACTTTACTTTACATATCACCTTGCACGAAACGGTATAATTACTCTGTCTGTATAGTATAGGTATTAGAATATCCAGTCCATCCAGAACAGTGTTCACCAGAATTCAGAATAGTCATTCGTCGCATCGTGTCATTGTGCCCGTGTGATTGGCTGGCTACCGCAACGTGGTGGAACGCGCGGAGTTTTCTGCTCGCGGTTTTCTAATCTGAGCACAAAATTCGTTCGCGTTTTCGACAGTTCCATTGAAATGTTTTATCCGTTGTAAAAAGTATACCTACTCAGTTTGTTTGTAGTGTTCGTTTTTATTTCGGCAATGTTTATAACCTTTGGACGATTGTCATAGTTTTAATTAAGATGTGAATGTTGTAAAAATTGTTCAATTGCTTATTCAGCATAACGTGCATATGTCAATAGGAGATAAGGCATATAAAGTTATGTAAGTATGAATCACATGAATATTTGAAAAGAAAATCTAGTAGCCACGAAAAGAGGTTACTTGATCTAACTGCAGACAATATTTCAAATAAATTGTCAGTCCCATTTTGTCTATACTTTTTTTTTATCAAATGTTAAAATCGTTAAAATCACACAACATAAATATTTTTATTCAATTATTATTTTATAAATCTGTTATTATATATGGTTCTTGGAATTTTGTAAATTTTTGTGACAAATTAAATAAATAATGGAAGATAAAAACGGTAAATGTAGTTAAATGTTAAAGAATAATTGGAATTATTTTAGTTGGTTTTTTTTGGGAACAGTTTCGACCCAAGTTCTAAGTAACACCAGAAATATTTGCAACGAGGAACTGGTGAATTGTTTCTTCATTTTGAAAATTCTCGTGATATAGGTACGTTGTTTTGTAAGAACCCAGTGAAAGTTAAGAATTTGGTCTGTTCCTAACCTGATGGTCTTTATCACAATTCACCAGGGATAAAGTTCTAGAAGAATAATCTACATATACATAGGTGTCCCTTGATCGTTTAACATTTATTCAGCCCCACAATATACAAACAGATAGAATTGTTCCGGACATCGATTGCCATTCCCTGACCACAATGACTGGCACTCGATTTGTATAACCCGCTTGGGAATATGAATATAATTCACCAACATATTGTCCAATGTTTAAAATAACATCACAGGTAAATTAGGATGTCCGGGAAAATATTTCGAATGATATAAACGTAAAAATCAGTCTCTTATTTACAAGTTTTTTAATGGTTTTTTTTAAACATCTGTATTTTCGATTATTGATTTAACTTTTCCTCTCAGATCTATATTTTCTTGAAATACCAGTGATGTGAAATGCAATAACTTATCTATCTTACTCTTTGTAGTCAAATAAACATCGTAAAAATGAGCGTCGCCTTAAATCGCGCTCAACCACGGCGAGTCAACAGCACACTGAGAAGACCTGACATGTTCTACATTTATGACGATGGGGACGAATCAGATCAGAGCTCTAACAAAACATTGACTGCTGAATGCGCCAACCAGTGCACGCAGACCAAGGGTGACATAAGTAATGTATCGTTATATCAGCCACAAGACGTTATTGCTGAACATAGGCCTCCCCCAATGAGTTCCAGATACACCGGTGAAAAGCGACCTGTATTCAGCGACTCCTTGCGACCATCGTTAAATTACATGCCTACTAATATACTTCTGAAGTCACAACTACTGAGATTTACCTTTTTTATTTCAGGGCAACGCTTAACAATACAAAAATGTTTAATAACACCAAGACGAAAACTAAAAAGAGGAAAACGTGAGAAAAGTTTATATTTGAAATTATATAATAGCTTGTTCAGGGAACTGAGAAAAACACTCTTGTTAAACAAATCATTTTCTCATTTGCCGCTGATCTAGTCGAAAATACCACAGATTAGTTTGATTTCGGTGGTGTGATGATTTCCAGCAATAGCAATTCATTGCAACTTCTAATCAGCATGCTATATATGTTTCCTTATTTCCAGTAAAATTAATGGACTGGAAAAAATACCACAGACTGAGCGTAATATATGCATTCATAGATGAACTAGAAAGAGACTACCCAGCAATTTGTACTGTGTCTGTGATTGGAAAGTCCGTTGAAGGAAGGGATATTAAGGTAAAAACATTAATGACAAAAATGCAATTCATTTTATTTATCATGTCCAAATCACAAAGTTATATTATACGCGGCAGGCCCAAAAGGAGATGGCAGGACGAATTAAACATCTATGGACTGCACTGGCTTACAGGACTTGCGGCAGTTTTGGGAGATAGCGGCAGGCTTGACCCAAAAAAAAACAAAATGAATTGTAGTGTAGAAGAAATATAAGCATACGGTAGCCCTGACCTAGGTAGATCTAGACCTGGTAGCGACCATAATTCTAGAATTACAGTCTGAAATTGACCACTGAAGTCTATTTGACCCTTTCGTTTAGAGAACAATAACTTTACTGGATCCCACCAGAAGAAACACACTTACAATAATTCAGATTGAATACCACGATGGAGATTAATCAAAGTAGTTATTGGCTACAGAACAGAGATTATTTTACTTTCACCAATTTATTGTTTATTTTCAGATGCTGAAAATATCCAATAGCAATGCAGATAATTCCGGGGTATGGTTGGATGCTTGCATACATCCTCGAGAATGGATTAGTGTTGCAGTCATTACTTACATAGCTGATATGCTTGTCAAAAACTTTCACACGCTTTCTTCTGCTATTACTAGTAAAGATTGGTAATTTGTTTTATTTACTTAACAGTTTCATTAATATATAACATACATAACAACACTCCTTTTATCCCCGAAGGGGTAGGCAGAGGTGCACATTACGGCACTTGATGCCGCTGTTAAATGTAACTCCCACTTTCACTATTTATGTTATGACTCCCATGTAATAGGGGGTGAGCCTATTTTATTATGTTTTGTTTAAAAACATAAAGGTTTTCCTCCAAAGACCCTTGACTATATAAATGTACAGTCTGTCAAAAGATTTTCTGACCCGGTTTTGTTTCCAGGCATATTATTCCAGTTCTAAATCCAGATGGTTATGAATACACGCACACACATGAACGAATGTGGAGAAAAAATCGAGCGAGATACGGAGGACAGTGTGTGGGTGTGGACCTCAATAGAAATTTTAGGTACGTTTCTCTACGATAAATATTTTTTCGACATGTAAACACAAACAGCTCACGGAATAACAAAATTATATTAGTACATATTATTGTTGACCATAAGTTAAATATAAATAACGTTACGATATTATATACTTAACCCACGGTTGATTCTACCTCGAAACTCTCCAAAACAGTAGAATGCTGCTCACAATAAGTTATTGATATAAAGTTTTGACTACGCAAATATTAATTTTCATAATGTTCTCTAGCTACGGTTGGGGCCAAATTAACGGCGAAGAGGGTTCATCTGATGAACCAAGCCATATCTTCTATAGAGGTCCAGCGCCATTTTCTGAACCAGAGACAGTGGCAGTAAGGGTACGTACAATTTGATTTGATTCCACATTAAACCGAATTTAATACCAGTAAATGTAATGGAAGATAGAAATGTATGTAAAGTCAGTGACGCTCTTTACCAAACCTTCACTCTTTTTCTTCAGGACACAATTCTCGGATCAATAACGCCTTTCAAGGTGTTCATCTCCTTTCATAGCTACTTTGAGCTGATCATCTTCCCGTGGGGCAACAGACAGGATCCGTGTCCCGACTACCTGCACCTGCTGGAAGGTGGCACAGTCATGGCAAGGGTAACGCCACGTAAGAACCTAGTAGATTAGTAGTATTTATTCAGTTCTTCCCGGCAGTGTTAGGCCGAGTTGGAGTACTACCTATTGCCAGATATGTTTTTAATCTCAAGTAAGGGCTAAAGTACAATACTATTGTTTATTCACGAAAAATGTTAACTCGTTTTTATAATAACTAACGTGAGACATACTAAATAAACTAAAAATCGCGGGTTACTCATGTATGTCATTTGTATGTTATGTCCGCGACCGCGCACGCTGCTCATAAGGAAGAACCCCTCTGTGGTTCGAAACTAGTAGAGCTTTTCTCAGTATATTCACTTGAGTAACCCGCAATTTTTAATTAAATGTTGACTCGTTGTTTTTCAGGTTCAGATTTTAAGTCAAAAACTGTGTGACAAAATGATTACAACATAGTTTATATGTTAGTAAAAACCATTCAAAAGTGTTATGTTTTAGGCAATACATGAAACGTCTGGGAAGACTTATAAAGTCGGAAATACAAAGGACCTCACTTACTACGCATGTGGGACCAGTATAGACTGGAGCTATTCGATAGCGAAGATACCATATTCTTACATGGTAGAGCTTAGAAGTAAGCAACACAGATTTAGACTTCCGAAAGACCAAATAATGGAGACCTGTAAAGAAATTTGGAATGCTGTCAAGAATTTGATGGACTACGTTGATGAACATTGAAGTAAGAAACGTTTTCTCCAATACAGTGTGCTGTTAATATATAATTTGGTGCAGTTATTGTTACGTGAACAAATACTGCCGCCAGTAATGTAAGCGTCTAAAACTCTAAATAAAAAGCGATATTCAACGCATTATTTGTACGTTTATTTGTGTAAAACCAACAAAACATGTACGGATACTTTAAAGTTCAAACATATTACAAAACTAATTACGGAGTTTTTTCGGAATGACAGAACAATTCAAACATTTCTTCTTATCAGAAAATTCGACGAGCGCTTTGACACCATTTAGAATTTCTTTGCAACATATAATTATTTCTTCTCTGGGTAATGTGAAACGATCCTGTTTGCTCCTCAGTTCCACGAGGTAGGAGAAGGGGATGCGAGCCGTACCATAACTCCAGTCAATGCTAGTTCCAGAAGCATAATACATTATATCCTTAAAGTTACCAACTTTGTACATACGACCAGTTGTCTCGAAAATGGCCTAGAATAAAAATAAAATTGAAATATTTCTTGAGAAAGTAGAAGTTTCATAAAGTAACAGGATTTGTTTAAAAGCTATACATTATTCTTTTGTGGGGTAGACACACTAAGGAACAATTATAAACATCATTATTAGCACAATGTTAATAATGTATACAAATACTAATTATAATTAAAATAAAATGTTGGGATCTTACTTTAGCCATAGCAGTTCCACCTTCAAGTAAATTGACGTAATCCGGGCATGGGTCCGCTGTGTGACACCATGGAAAGGAGATTGCTTCACTGCAAGCGTGAAACGATAGGAATATCTTAAACGGTGTCCCCGAGTACAGAATTATATCCTATAAAAAGATTATAACACTTTTCTTTAAAAATATAGAATTTAATATATATCTAATGTTCAAGCTAAAAACATCAAACCTTAATTGCTGTAGTTTCGGGTTCCGAAAAAGGTTCTGGACCACGATAATTTAAATGACTTGGATCGCCAGATGAATGCTCCATACCACCACGACCCCAGAAATACCTGGAATTTACATAAAATATTCTGAGTCTACTTTACTGTATTTATATTTATCAGTCAAGATATTGTGGTGATCAAAATCATTAGTCCACTAGTACTTTATTAAAATTTTCTACAATTGATTGAGTACATTGGTGTCCTAACAAGAGTTTACACGATCTTCATTTCTATGAGAGCTGTAATTAAATATGTAGGTACTTTAAAAGTTTATACCCAAAATTTCTATTAAGATCAACTCCAGAAATAACATTTCCATACACTGCTCTATTTTTTCGCCACATCCTATCTGATGTGTGCGAATGTTGATAGCCATCTGGGTTCACTACAGGTACGAAATACCTAAAAATATAATGTCAATTGGTTATCCTTAAAATCTTTTGCTTTCAAAAACTCATCCCTGTAATTTTTTGTGCTCTTTTATAAGAAAACACGCCGAATGGATTCGGTTGTTCGTGTACTCTACCAGTCTTTACTCGTATAGTTGACAGACAAGGTATCAAAATTTCTGGCTAAATAATCAGCTATATATGTCACAACTGCTGTACTAATCCACTCCCGCGCATGAGTTGCACCGTCCAGCCAGATTCCTGTATTATTGGCATCGCTGTTTGATATTTTCAGCATCTGAAATATTTACGCAACATTAAGATTATTCAGTTTTTATGTTACCTACTAATATAAAGTTTATATTTTTGTTTGTTACTCCTACACGTCAAAACGGCTGAAGGGGTCGGAATGAAATTTGAAACAGGGGTAGATTTTGCCACAAGAACGCGGGCGATGTTGCTCGCAGAAGTTTTTCATTGAATAATACATTAAGAATACACAAAAACATTCAAACCTTTATATCTCTTCCCTCAACAGATCTACCAATAACGGACACCGTACATGTTGATGGAAAAGCTTTCTCCAAGTCATTCAAAAAAGTGTAGACTACCTGCAGTGGGTAAAAATCTCTCCAATCAAGCGATCGATCTGCAAACAAAGCTATTGCTATTGGTGCTCATGTGTTTTGTACTAGCTGATAGTGGCTGATTTTAGGACATAGTCGGCTGTATCTACTTTGCAGGTATCAATTAAAAGGAGGAATTGGACAATGGATTAAAAGATATTTTAGAAGTCCACAGAATTATAAAAAATCCCTTACTAATAGGACATCTTAGCCGATTGGCGAGGGGACTCCGTATCCGACGCGTACCGCCACACCCTGAAGTGTCACTCACTATCACATCGAAAGGAATATCTCTTCCTCGAAACAGCTTCGCCATTTGCATGACTCTAGTCCCCTCCACCAGCACTTCCATCATATACTGATGCTCTTTGTTGATAATTATGGCTGTGGATTAAAAGACGTTTCTACAGTATCCTCAAATCTTATGGGTAATAATTTTTAGGGTCAGTAATGTAGAAATTATTTCAATTATTTTCCTTTTGCCTGTTGTATGTTATGTAAATAGTATCTTTATTAAAGTTTTCAACATTCACTTTGGTCGACATAGTTTCAGAAAAAAATACTTTCTATATTACTGTCCCTTCTTCATCATCATCTGGATTGTTTAGTTCATAGCCACCTAAGCATTGAATGACTCTTCATTTAAGATGAATGGGGCATCCAGAAACTTAGTAATTTTGGAAAAAAAATCATTGACTTACCACCCTTACTATCCAGGGTCTTTAAAAACATTTTTTGTCCGTCTTTGGAGCAGTGTACGTCCCATATTTGATACCTCGCGTCTTTTCGTGCCACTTTGAATGTTGTATTGTAACAGTTGTACAGTGAATTTTATCCTAATTTATTTTGAGTTGCACTGAAAATTTTAACAAGATTTTGACATTTTAGAAAATTGTTTGAAGTTGTTTTGACATGACTCAAGTTATATTTTTTCTATGAAATAGAGAGAATCTTATTAAGTATTCATTAATCGACTAATGTGTGGCATCTGACTTTAGGTACTCCGAGCATAGAGTCGTAACTCTGAGGTTTTTCATATGTACGTCACCCAAGAACGTTGAATGATATTCGTGTAACGTCCTTGACGTCATCGATAACATTATTACCATACCGTACGTACCGTTCCGGGCCGTTCAACTTTTTCGACGTCCTAGATTGCCGAATTTATTTCCTGGAATACAGGCAACATGGTTCCTATGTGTCACTGTTTAAAGTGATATAATATTGTTGATAAAATTATTAAATATGCAAGTGTTTTTTTTAAGTAACCAAATATCTCCGCAGCTAAAATAAGCACACACTCGCACAACCAAAAAAGGGAGTCAATTAACAAAATCACTAGACAACACAAGACCGTTAGAACTACTAATGAAGAGTATTTTGACACAAGCTCATTGGCTAATCCGGGCTGAGCGCGACACTGAATTTCTAGTGCTTTCAATTAATTGGCTAGCTACTGCGGGAGGTGATGCGATCAGCACGACTAGTGCGTGCATGCTGCATCGTTTGTCTATCGTAATTGGTCAAAGAGTTCGCTAGCTTTATCATTAGGTGCTATGGTTGGATAGCGAATTCCTGGTATTGGGGAATATGATGTCCTGTGACTTGTTCATTAATGCGGATACAAGCTTGTAGTGAGGGACATTGGTAGCTAAATTGAGGGTAAGAAAGAGTTGGAATAAGATGTTATTTGGTTTAACATTAATCAATTAATTAACAATTTCCCTTTTAAAGGAAAATTATGTGAATCAAGAAGTAATATGTTAACAAATTGAAATGGTAACATCCCCTTTTGACAATATAATACAATAATCCCTGACAGATCCGAATAATGCCTTAAAGCGTCAGGGGTATGCTTTTAATGTGGACCCAGATCGTGTAAACAAGGATTTTGTTGGCTTCCTACGCCTACGGCGACGGTTCCCAGTTAGAAGCCTATTTATAATCGAAGAGAACGACACTATCTCTATGTTCATCATACATTGCGTTTTTTGCTAGGGGAACGTCTTCTTGTAACATAATGAAATAGGTAATGTATTGTGAATTGAATGAAAAGTAAAAAGTTATCGTGTTTTAGGTGAGGGTTGGAATCAAAAAATGGTGGCTCCAATAAAGGACATCATTAATTCCCGCCGGTCGCGATGTCGGGCACATCGGGGGATTGCCTGCATTAACGTAATAACGTCTGAGAAAAATATCCGATCGATACCCGCGAGACGTTGTTTGTTGTGGTTGGAACTGAACCAACTAAGTGGTTGCTTGTTTGTGGGATTATAGTGGCTGAGAGAATTAGACTGGGATCCTTGTATTCTTCATAGATTATATGAAATTCTATAATTGTCGGATTTTGTAATTAATCGTTACATTAGAAATTGAATTATTATTTACATCGTTGTATAATTTGCCATAGTAAATTACCGGTAAATAAAAAACACCGGTCCTTTTTGGCGAATCAAAATAAATATTCTTTAAAAGTGTACTACCCACACAAGCTACCCACACAAGTAAGGCCAAGACGTTTTTCTCGTCAGTTTGCAAAGCGTCGAAATCAATTTCCCAAGTGGACGAGGCACGGGGCTCCTAAGTATTTCTTTCAAATAATTATCCGACAAAAACATCCCAAGATTCTTGCGGAGTTCGTTAGGATGTTACGGGATCCCTCCCTAAGCAGAATTAATGATTCCCTTTATTGAAAGTTCAATTTTTTGATTAGGAACCGGTGAGCGGTGGGGCGACGCCCTACACTGTTTAAACGCCGGATAACACGGCATTTATTTACATTCGGCCGCTATTGATTTGATTTATTTTTTAAGTTGCTCTTTTTGAGATTTTTTAATAAGGACTTTTTTCAATTTGAACCGACATTTTTCGACACTTCAATATTTGAGCATAGGACACATGTGGATAACTTTAACGTGTAATTGAATACGTGTTATAAACGATGCAATTTCAATACTATTCCAACCCCATTGTAGCCTCTAATCCAATCCCAAAAAGGCATAAGATCTATTTATCGAGACGATACAAATTGCACCGGCTCCGGACCCAAGTACCGTAATCTGTTGGCGAGTGAAGGCGATCCGGCGACCGTCCGGCGTCCGGCGCCGTCCGGCGGTCGACGGGCCACCGGCGGCCGGCGAGAATCTAATTTGGTTCGGTAGCAGTCGCTCATTTGTTCAAATTACACCCCACGCCGCCCACTGAGATCCAGAAACTGGGAGATGGCGAGAGATGCTGCCAAATTTATAAGTATGTGTTGTGTTTCTTAGTAACTTTGGGAGTGTAGGTAGAGATATAAACGTGGTTGAGAATATAGGAGCACGCCTAAATTAAGTTTTAAGTGTTCATAATCACGTAACTGTGTAGGTAGTTATGTATGTGGTTCGAACGAGAATGCTATCTACAAGTTTTTTCGACTAATTTTTAAATGGGTATCTAATAATATTCTATTAATTTGTCTTTTGTTATAAAATATGAAGACGTGTTAAGAAAAGTAATAAGAAATTCATACAACAGAATTTGACCCATTTGTACAATATTTGCAAGTAAAGTAACGTCTCGTACCCTCCCCTGCCCTCCGTGACCTCGGTGATCGGAGGACTCAAACTATTCAACCCTCAGGCACTTCCGGGTCCTCTCTTTGTTGTGCACGATCTTTCCTTCCTTTATCAATCGAGATATTCTTTGAACCGACACATTCTACATTTGATGGCGCTAATCTCTTTTTGATGAATTTGTCGGTTCTACATATCACTTACAAACACGTGTTTGGAACATATTATTAGAAAAAAGGGTTTCTGTAACTAGTTTCTACCAGCGATTTCACCTAAAAGTTAAAAGTTCGTGTTTTTTCAGACAATAATTTATCTCTATATCATCATCCATACATATATACTCAACAATATTTAATTTATTAGTAGGATACAACACAATTTAAAGTTTGTATATTATCGTAGCACACGTAGTGCTCGTAGTACCCGTAGCTGTGCCGTAGCATATAAACTGTAGCTGTCGTAGCACTTACTGCCACGTAGTTTATGTAGCGTAGAAAATGTTCTTAAATATCATGTATGTGTTTTATTTAGCCAAGATCATAGTTTTCTCGTACCCATAATATTGTTTCTCATGGTTTATTTTAATTAATATAACTATTGCCTATTCCGAAAATCTCGTAGCCATACTTACTTTATACTGAGATTCTGTTTAACACAATAACTAGGTTTACCCTCTAAATCAAATCTAAAGTAAATGTCAGTAACAATCTAGTCATAACTTCACAACCTAAGTTACAATTAATCTTAGCGTAAAATAAGTCCGCGTGCACACGGTAGGTAGTGGTCGTCGAGGCTCAGGTAGAAGCCAGGTGTCGTTCACGCTTTGCGCCTCGGTACACAGACGGCGTTACTACGCGACGCAAGCTCCAACAATTACGCCGACGCTGACACCGACGCCTGTCGCTCTTATGTAACCCCCCTTATACAGTTCCCTTAGAAGACTTCGAGTTACAGTTTCAAATTATTTATTTTATTTAAAGTTTGTTCTTTTTATTTTTTAATGAATGTAAACAAATTAATTATGGCTTATATGATTGGTCTCATAACTACTTCGTTGATTGGTTACAATTTGAGTTTAAAAACCTAGGTTTTTCATAATTCGATATGTAACAACGAACCTAGGCTCTTCTTATAACCATGGAATTTACAAGCAATAAAAATCATACAAAACTTATTAAATAAATACATCTTTTCTTTACTCCCTGCTCTTCATGATTGTGAGCTCCCGCCATAGCTTGAAACTAGTCAAGTTACTACGTGGAACAGCTACGTTCATCGACAGCCTATAAGTGCCCACTGCTGAGCAAAGCCTATTCTTACACGGAGAATGTTTGAGCATTAATCACCACGCTTGCTCAATGCGGGTTGGCGATTTCAAACGAATATTAAGTTGTAGTTGGTAGGTTTCGAACCCTCATGCATGAGAAGCGGAAATTTTAACCTCCGGGCCACCACCAACAGCTACGTTAGTACACTGTAAAACATAATACCCTATGAAAAAATACAGTATATTTAGTTTATTAAAAATACAGTATATTTTAATACATTTCATTGCGCAGATCACTTCGTAGTACTGAAGCTTAATTTCGTAACTTGTTAGTGGTACAACTGTCCCGATGTAGGTCACTCGTATTTAGTTGTGACGTTTCGCTGATTTTCTCATTAGCTTTGTTAACGAATAGACATTTAAATTGGCTTCGAGAATCTGATAAGTTATATTTCGGGGCAATTTTTGTTGTACTTAATTATTGAGGAGATAAAATCTGCTGTTGCATATTTTTCTTCATGTTGTTTTAACGATTTGTGTGAGATAAATTAAGTACTTATTATAAAAATGTGTTATTTTTGAGAGGTTTAGTTACATTTTAGTCAAATGAATGGTTCGTATCGTAAAGGTTACGTCTAGAATCAAATTCTGAATTTTCAGTACACTAGTAATATATAATTGTGTACTTGCTATTTTTAATTTCCCAGAGACCGGATAGCAGCGCTTTCTGATAAATTCTAACATTTTAAGTTCTTACTACATTCTACCATACGCTGCGCATCATCCACCCGAGCGTGGCGCCAGGATTTTTCTACGCGAGACTGGGGGACGTAGCGCACTGTGAAAAATTTCGATGTTGGCATGTAAATTAGTACAAATCCTTCTTGTAATATCATAGAGGAAGTTAACAG